ACCAGGATGCAATTGTGAAAGAGGAGACTATGGCCCCATGGTGTTCTCTGAGAACAGGGCCCATGACCCAGAAGACCCCACTAGGCCTGACTTCGTAAAGATGCCACCTTCCCAGCAGTACCACAGGCTGGTGACCAAGCCTTTGACAGGCAGACCTTTGGGGACACTCCAGTTCCAAATGCAGCAGACATTAAAGTTAATATTGGATATTTGACATCATAAGGGTAACCAGTAGAACAATAAAAATATAACCAGTGAAACTCCAGGAATAGATGTGAGGTAGGAAGTAGTATTAGGGAGTTAAATTCTCCCTTTTTTTAAGAATAGAGGTATCAATCAATACTGTCAAGTTCAAAGCAAGGTACAGCAATATGAGAAGCATAGAATTCATCCTCTGATGAAACTGATCAGAGAAAGAATAGAGAGAGTGAACAGTAGTCATCACTGATTAAGAGCTAGAAGGTGGTGAGGGTATCAGAAATGTTACTTTTTAAATTAAAGCTGATTTACTTAGTTTTTAAAACACCACATGAAATAGAATCTATGTATACGAACATAGTATAATGTCTGTAATACATGTGAATGAGAAAAGGGGTCACACCAAATGTATCACATGATATTATTTACATGAAAATCTATGTATGTACATAAATATGCAGTGTGATTTTGCAAACATAATTGAGCTCTTGTGTTTCTTTAACTTCTGTGAAGAGAATGCCCATCGTTTTTGAGGTTTGCCTCTTGTCTGGAGAAGAGGAGGAGAGACACGCTGCAGAGCTGCCCTGCAAACTTCTTTCAGGATGCTGGGTCTGAACCGGAAGCACCTAGTCCCCCCATAGGGGAAGTGGAAGTCAGGAGCGACAGATACAGTGATGATATAGTTCTTGTAACCCTAAATACCAGAAAACAAAGGAGTATGTTCAGTGCTGGGTGACAGTAGTCATTAACTCCGGTTCTATAGCCAAAAGTCTCATTGTATTTGAGCTTGAGATGATACACAGGCCTTTTCACATGTACGAAATCCAAGAGGATTAGCATTCCCAAACCTTTCTAGAATAAATTAGTAAGTGTACTTCAGGAGAAGAAAAGTGATCTTTTCAGTGTGGAGAGAAGGAATTGAATGGAAAACAGATGGTGGAAAATGAAATTAATATTGACTTGTAATAAGATTAATTATTGTAAAACCTTTAAAAATATTTCACAGGAGATGTGACAGGAAAAATTATCTATATTCAAAAGATAAACAGCTCACCAAAATATAAATAATTTGTTTGTTTTTTGTTTTTGGTACTGGGAATCAAACTCGGGTCCTTGAGCTTGCGAGGCAGGCGGTGGAACCACCGAACTAAATCCCCGGCCCTAAAATATAAATAATTTAAGGAGCAAAATAAAAGAGATGGTAAGAAACAGGGAAACAGACTCTGTGGAGATGGGAAGGGAATGTGGGGAAGGAGGGAGAGAGGCAGATAGGAGCGAGGAAGTGGAGTAAATGACAAAGACGTGACACATATATGTGCCGATTCTCCAAGATGTAATGTTATATAAGTAATTATTATGTAATTAGTATATATTGCAAACATATACTAATGAAAAAGGAGATAAACAGCTCATGGTTTATCTCGTAGGTGATTGGAAACCTTAAACAACTTTGGAATTAGGAAAATAATTTATTTATGTATATGAAAACATATGGATGATTAGAATAATAATAATATATATATATATATATATATATATAAAATTCCAGCTTTCAAATCAATAGAAGAAAATGAAGGCATAAAGAAAACTCAGTCTTGTAGGGGATAGGAAATGGGAAAGAAATAAAAAAGGTAGATGTGGCTTAATCCCATTTCCAAAGTCCCCATCACCGTGAAAAGTCACAGTTATCGCTGATGGCTTAGGACATGGCCATCTTTGGGGAGCTGTTAGTCGGTGTAGCCAGGAGCATGAATGCAGAGGCTGCAGTGGTGACATGGTTGGTGCGTTCTGGGATCAGTGTGACTGGAAGGAGGTGGCACCATGAAGAAGGAAGGTGGGAGCCACTCCTCAGGGCCTGGGAGGCCACACTAGGGACTTGAGTCCCCTCTTTATTGGATCTGAGGGTGTATTTCAGTATTCTTAGCTGAGCATGGTGGCGCACACCTGCAATCCCAGCACTCAAGCGACTGAGACAAGAGAATCATAGTGAGTTCCAGGCCACCATCAGCTGCATAGTGAGTTCAAGGCCAGCCTGAACTACACAGAGAGACCTTATCTCAAAAAAAAAAAAAAAAAGTAAAAATCTCAGCCATTGCACTTGAGAATGATTGTCGTGGGGCTTGTTGAAATGTTCATTTCTGGGTCCAAGAAATTTTGATTCGGTGTTTCTGAGGTTTTCTTAAGCTTCCCAGTTGATTTCCCTGACGGCTTCAGGGTCAGCCTCCAACCCATGCCTGCTAGTGTCTCTGGATGAAAGTGACACAGAGGGCTGTGATGATAAACACAGGAAGATGGCCCGACTCTTCTTTATCCTTTTTCGCATCAGTTTTGGCTAGGGCACGTGACCGAAGTTTGGCCAGTAAGACATGCGGGGGAACCTTCCAAGGGTGGCTCCATAAAAGTTGCCCTTGCTCTTAAAAATGAAAAGCCTGCCTGGATATGGCAGCTGTCACAACACTGACCTTAGGCGGGCAGAGAGGAAACAGGAAGACAGGGGCCTGGCGCCCACCCACCCTGAGCTCACCCATCTCTGCAGGGTCTGCGAGGGGAAGCGGAAAATTCCCGCACCGTTGAAGGTGATAGGGCTTGGTATTTCTGAAACTTGGACATGGCCCCAGTTTTCCAAGGCTGTTCACATTCTCCTGGGTGGGACAGGAGAGCTGTAGCTCTGTGCTTTTCTCTTCCCCACATACACTATGCCCAATGGAGCAGGCTTGTGAGAATGAAGGGCTCAGCTCAGAGTCTGGACAGAGCAAGCGCTTCCTGGATGGGACAGACAAGCAAATGCATAAATAAGTGATTGGATTTGTTGAAGGGCTGTGAGGCAACACTTACTGATCTTCATTCCCGGGTTCTTTTTCTCAAATTCGGATTGAAAATCTCTTCATCTTTTTTGGCATCTATCTGGCTGTTACTCATTACTCTTTTTTTTTTTTTTTTTATTAAACCAAATTTCTACTAACTCAGGAAAGGAGTACTTATTTATTTGTGCATCTTAAATGTCTTTTGTGTATGGTTTATTTCAGTGAATGTAGTGTTGCCATATGTGTGAGTGTTTTCTTTTTAATTTTTATTTTTATGGGTACATTTGCAGTACATGATGATTACATCATTATGGGGACTTGGTGCATGCACATAATACATCTTAATTCTTTTTAGGTCCTCCTTCCATCCCTTCCCCCTTCCTCCAATGCTTGGTCCCTTTTTGCAAGACCTATTTCTTTGTTTCCTATTATCTTTTATTTTGCTCTTTAATTTATTTACACTTTGGTTTTCTCATGTAAGAGAAACCAAATGATATTTAAGCTGTGTGTCTGATTTATTTTACCCAACATTATGGTTTCAAGGCATACACATTTTCCTACAAATGACTTAACTTTATTTTTCTTTATAGCAGAGTTGTACTCCACTGCGTGTAAATATCACAATTTTTATTTGACCCAGGTATTCTTCTTCTAGGTATCTGTCCAGAAGAGTTAAAGACATTATATTACAGTGATCCATGCACACCCACATTTATAGCAACACAATTCATAATAGCTAAATCTTGGAAGTGGCCTATATGTCCATCGACAGATGAATACATAAAGAAAATGTAGTCTTTATACATTTTTATTAACCAAATACAGGTCTTTTGGATATTTTCTTTCCTCAAATCAAGGGAAGAATCTATTATTTATCCTTTAAAAAAGACACTTCGAGAGCCGGGGATTTAGCTCAGTGGTTCCACCGCCTGCCTTGCAAGAGCAAGGTCCTGAGTTCGATCCCTGGTATCAAAAAAAAAAAAAAAAGACAAAAAAAAAAGACACTTTGTGCAGTTTGAACATAACCTAAAAAAATTCAGGCAGGCCATTGGAAAGTGGTTTCCTGCTCTCTGTCTGCTCACACCTTGTCCCACTGCCACTGCCAGAGCTGACCTGGATGCGGGTAACACATCACACCCTAGTGGCAGTGAGAGGAGGATGGATTCAGGCTCCATGTGGTTGGGGGTTGTCTTGATGCCTATGTGACATTCTTGTTTCTGGACGCTGTGCAGTGGACCCTGGCTGCAGCCTGTGTCATTGGCTGATGTGCCCTAGACCCTTGGAAAGGGCACAGATTGGCAAACCGGACCTGAGGAGCCGTGGGAAACCTCCCTGATGGTCTATTCTCATCTCTCCTTTGAGCCCAAATTGATAAAACCTGCAAACCTTCTCAAACACAGAAGTGTGGACCACATGGGAAACGAAGCAGTGCTGTATTTCAAAATAAAGTTGGAAAGCAGGCCAATTATAGCAAGGTTCCCTAGGGATGGCTGTCTTAGTGGCCAGGAAGCGATGGCCCAGAGTGGGTGGCAAAGGGTGAGGTCACTAACATTTCTGTTTCAGAGACAGAGAAGCTCATGATGCTGAATGCACAGGTCTATGCAGTCTACTGGGTGCTGTCAGACTGAAGGCTGTGGCTGGGTCCTGCCCTTCCCTCATCCCATCCTGCCCCTCCTGGGTGACCTCTGGGTGGTCTGAACACTCTCCATAAGTTCCCAGAGGGCTGGGCACCTGGGGAGGTGTGGATTGAGAACCCAGGGGAAAGGCTAAGGGATGGCATTTTACTTCCTTCTTCAGGCAGAGCCCTGATCCTGAATTCTCTTCCCTTGCAGAAGCATGGGGTGGCACTGTGACTTGCCAGTTCTCCCTGCTCTGCCTCTCATTTCTTTCACAACATCCTACACCTCGTCCCGGGGTCGCATGGGGATGAAGTTCCAGGCAGAGATGCATCTTGCAGCTGGGGATGGGAACTGACCTCCTTCTTCCTTTTCATCACAGGCAGATGCTGCCAGGTGGCGTTGGGACTTTGTGACCTGGGGCACATCTAGGAGCTTCGTCCCATAGAAGACCAGGTAGAGGCTCCAGCAAACAGGATCATGCTTTCGGGGCAGATGTGGCAGAGAGGGAGAGGGTACAGGCATGTGCACTGCTTCTGAGAGGGTAGAAATCAGATTTCCCCAGAGTGGACACCTGGAAGTCATGTACCACTCTGGCTACTGCTTCTTAAAGATGATACCAGGGAGCTGGAGAAGACCCAGGACAAGGCAGCTGAATTAATTAAAGCATTGGAGTGGGTTTAAAATATACATTTATGTTCAGATTTTAGAAGTAATAACATAACTTGCTACAGAAAATTTGGAAAATATTCAAGGGAAAAAATATATAAGCCTTATCCTACCACCCAGAAATACCAGTGTCTAACATTTTGTTGTGTTTCCTTTCAGTCTTTTTTCTGTGTACACAAACATATATAACAAAATTGTTGATAATATGTTCATATAATGTAGATATGTATTCATATATGTATGTAAATATACACAGATACATACATAACATTTTGCCTCCCGTTTGTTATATGTTTTGTATCTTGTTGGACATATATTTTCTTGTCATCAAATACTTTTGTAACATTTTAGTGACTATATAATGTAGCAGTTGCTGGGTCTACACAATGTATGTGAAGCTGAGGGCAGTGGTGTGCACTTGCAATCCCAGCACTCTTTGCAGCGGAGGCTGAAGTAGGAGGATTGTAAATCGGAACCCACCTTGGGCAAATTAGTGACTTAGCAAACCTTGTGCTGCAAACCAAACAATCCACCAAACCATCTGACTACTCCTCTATTATTTATATTTAGATTATAGTTAATTAAGTACATATTTACTTGTATAATTAATATTACAATGAAATACTTTCTACCCATATCTGTCTAGGGATCTCTAATTGTTTCTTTAAGATGAATTCTTAGAAGGAGAATGACAAGGCCAAGCTTTGGAATATTTTTTGATGTTCTTGCCAGATTGTGGCAGAGACGTATGAAAGGAATTTGGAGGTTGAGGATTTGTCAGGATAAAAGCTAAATGCTGAATGAAGGATGACTGAAAGCACAAAAGGTATCAATTGGTCAAGTGGAAATTCGTTAACCAAAATCTGAGATATTGCAAAAACACAGGAAGTTTTGGAATTCTGTGAGTGTGGCCTTGGAGCCAACACAAAGGTCTGACTTGTCCAGCAGAGAGGGGACTGGGCAGTTCTTTGCCTTGGGAGTGATCACTGGCTAAAAATGTAGGCTGTGTAGGATTTTAGACAATGCGTATGTGAATGAAGGGATGTTGTTTGGGTTTTGTCATTTTTAAAGTGGTCACCGAGTGTCTAGGATTAAGAGGCACAGTCAGGTACAAAGACGCATATGTCTATCAGGACTGCATAGTGTGGTGTTGACCAAGAAGACCACAGGATCTCGGGAGCCTGGATACCTGGAGACGGTGACAAGGGCTCTGCTAACCCAGAGCTGCTTTGAGGCCTCTGAGGACACTGATTTATTTCTCCTCCCTCCATTCCTCTCCCTTCTTTTTTCCCTGCAGGTGCAAGAACTTTCAGAGTAATGAAGAAGGGGCTCACTGAGGAGAAGCAACCTGCATGAAAGTGGTGAGAAGGGAACTTAGGTTTCCTTCAATGTTCTCTGTTATTATTTTGAACTGAGATGATTCTTTTTAAAAATAAAAATGCTATAAGAGCTGCATAATGGGTAATAAATACAAATTATTAGTTAAAATGTGCAAAGGATGTAAATTAAATGTATTCCTTTGAGAAATTTATTCTTCCAATTTTATATAATTGTGTTGAGTGTGGTGGTGGTGGTGGTAAGACTGAGTATCTCCAGGCCAAATGTCTAGGAGGCAAAGGAAGGGAAGGTATGGGGGTGATTCATGTATGTGACATGCATGTACGGATCTGCCAGGATGAAGCCCATTAATCCACATAGCCAATGTGCACTAATAAATATGTGAGAAAAAGAAATTGGACAGAGTAATCAACAGGAGCTAAAGGAAAGCCATCCCATGAAGACAGGCTCAGTTGGAAAGAGGCATGTAGAAATCTGCCTGACAGTGGGGAGTAACAGAGCCAGAAGGTGACTGTTACCCTGGTCTAGTCCAGTTGCGTTTGGCTGTCAGGTGTCCCCGTGATGAAATAAGTTCTCTGCTGCTCAAAGCCTCACCAAGCTTGAGACTCATCCTCACTTCCGTTCTTTGTGACACAGTCAGAAACAGAAAGCCTGCCTGAGGGATGATGTCATCATCACCATCACCACCACCACCATCATCACCGAAGAGGTCTTGGTGCCCAGAGGCAGTCGTGGACCTCTGCTGGTTCCCTCTAAGATTAGCACTGTGGCACTGACCCTTAAGGTGTGCAAGGTACATAGTGTTAGGAACTTAGCCATACTTAAAGTCAATCCACCAACTTCCACTTGCTGAGCATCCTCAGGACCCCAGGTGAATGCTTGGGAGGAAGTAAGAATAATGTGAGAGTGGAGAGCTGTCCTCAGGCACTCATAAGATGACAACTGTTGGGACTTCTACAGTAAATATGCTCTGTCACATCACAGGATTTACTAATTTATTGTGCTTACTGGCTGCCTCCCCTGCTACAGTGTAAGCTCAGGAGGCTGAGGATTGTGACCTTCTTATCCTGAGTGTCTCGAGCAATGCTTGGACAGAGTGATGATCGGGATCTCCACTGATTGACTGAATGCACACAGCGGCATGCTCCTCCATCGGTGCTCCTCCACCCGTTCCTGTAGAGATCACAACACAAATATCTCACTTAAAAAGCGCCAGCCCAAAACAATGCAGCTCATCTGACAAATCCTTTGTAATCCACGCACTCAGTCTTTGCTTCTAATTTTGTGGATGAGGCAACCGAGGCAGAGAGGAACGAGACTTACAGGGTCTCCCTGAGGCTGTCTGGCCCCTGCACCACTCACTGCCATTCCACCAAGGTGGCTTCCAAGGCCAAGGTGTCACGTCACCACGAAAGCTGCATGCGGTGGCTGCAGAAGTGAGGCAACTTGACCTTTCCTATCCAAGAGTTGCTTCGAGTGTTGCTTTCAGCCCACTGAATTATTAGCATTTCTCAGGGGTGAGCTTTCCAACTCTGGGGAAGATCAGGAAACAAACACAAGCAATTTCTTGTACTATTCAGATAGGGGAGTCATCATGTGAAAAAGGGACAGAAAGCAATGTCAAGGAAATTCAGGGGAGGTGCTGCTGCTTCCATAGCATAGAAAGGAGATGGAGAGGCATTCTGGGCAGAGGGGACAGCAGGCGCAGAGACTCAGCGGCAAATGAGAAGACCCATTACAATTGCTGTTCAAGGCCTCCTGCAGCCGTTACCCCCACAGGTGAACCAATATCCCACTGAGTTCTACCAGCTCTGCCTTTTCAGCAATCTAAAAATAGTCTACCACGTTGGTTTCAAAGACCCTTCCCTGTTGGTTCCATTTCTGTTGTGGGCCCATTGCTGAGTTACTTTGAAGCTCAGTTTCCTCATTTGTAAAACAGAAGCTAATGAGACTGTCTACAAGAGCTTGTTGAAGGATCTAAGGTGGTCATGGGTGTAAAGGTATTAGTTTCAGTGGCTCATGGTGTTCGGTGACCTTGTTGCTGTTATCTACCCTGGTTGGGTGGGTGCTGGTAAGAGATGACAGTGAGCACCCTCTAAACTTACGTAGGGCTTCATGTACACATGAAGGTCTTTAATGTATACAGATCACTGGGAACTCATGTCTGTCCACTTGCCCCTGTTGGGAAGTCACCTTGTCTCTTTTGGCCTAAGGGATATATTTATTTGATGAGTCATTGTTGGTCAGTTTTCCATCACTGTGACAAAATACTCAAGAAAACAACTTAAAGGAGGAACGATTTATTTTGACTCATGGTTTCAGAGGTTTCAGTCCATGGTTGGCTGGCCCCAGGCAGAGTATCATGGCGGGAAGGCATGGTGGAGCAAAGCTGTTCAGTTCATGGTGGCCCAGGAAGCAGAGAGAGTGGGCAAGAACCAGAGAGGTAGGTGTTGGGGATCCTATATGGTCCCCATCAAATTATGACATTGTCAGTGGTTTCATTCCCTCACGATTCAGTCACTTCCCCAAATCACTTCTCACAAATGTGGGTACAGACGTCCCTAAAGATGATGCTTGTGAAAGGATGTGATAAGATGATTTGCTGGACCCAGGGTTGACTCTGACGCTGGCAGCTTTGTTGGGAGGGAACTATCTTCTGTGGGGCTCACTGCCTGTCCCTCCCCAAGCCACTGGTCCGGTCAGGGATGACCCAGGGGGATCTGAGTTTCGAAGCTGGACCTGAAAGTCTAAGGGACGGCTGGGCCCCTGACAGTCACTGCACTGTCAGTGCCTGCTTCTATATTCTTACCTCCTTGGTACCGAGAGCAAAAGAATAACAGATGTGTGAGGCAGGAGTTGGAGAAAGCTTCTCTCATTTCCTAGCCTGACAGAATTTCAAATTTGTAGCTGGCTCCACCTTTGCTACAGTAGACCCAGCACTGAGACAGTATGCACTGTATAATCTCCTGTCAAACCTTTGTGTTTGTCATTAAAGATATGGCAACATCATTGCAGTTATAAACAGTTACCAAGGAAACCAGTTTATCATAATTAGAGTTCTTTCTCTCTCTGTCTCTCTCTCTCTCTTTCTCTTTTTCTCTCTCTATACCTGAGCTTTCTTTGGGCTGAAACACATGTTAAGCTGTTATCAGCCTGGGCTCAGTGGCTAATTAAATCCTAATATTTCTTCACAGAATTAAATTTCTCTTCTCCATAACTATGCTGTAACACATTGCCTGTGCTTATTAAAAACAGTCACAGGGTGGAACAATTGGTTTATTATATGTGTTTTAAATGGCCGTAATAGTTGTTCCCTAGAGCAAGGGGATATAAAAACCTAAGACACATAAGGTAAAAAGGTTTTGTTTAAGCCAGACATGGTAGTGCACGCCTGTAATCCCAGCACTGTGGGAGACTGAGGCTGAAGGGTTGCAAGTTTGAGCCAAGCCTGGGGAATTTAGAAACTTAGTGAGACCCTGTCTCAGAAAATAAAAATTGAAAAAGGGCTGGGGATACAGCTCAAGTATGAAGGCTCTGGGTTCAATTCCTAGTACGACAACCCCCCCGCCCCCCAAGACAAACAAACAACAAATCCCAACCACTTTTAGTTTATAAGAAACTTGGGTCCTTTCTCTTGCATTGGGAAATACTGTGAAAGGAACTTTGCTTCCTGGATTGTGTTCTAAGTCTTGTCAGACTTCTCTCATTTTTACCTTAAAAGCACGTGCTCGAATCCACACTCTACCCTGATGTCCTGGTGCAGAGGTCTGCTAACCTTTTCCGCAGAGGGCCAGAGAGTAGATACTTTAGGTTTTGCCAGCCATATGCCTCTGTTGCATATAGGACTCTGCCTGAAAAACAGGAAAATAGCCACAGACAACAGGTAATGAATGGCGAGGCTGTGTTCCAATAAAACTTTATTTGGTAATGCGTGGGTGAGGCTGTGTGCCAATAAAACTTTATTTATACAAACAGAGGCAGGTTAGATTTTCTCCCCTGCCTTTTCCAGTTTGCTAACATCTGTCAAGAGCCTTGGTCCTGACCTTGGAAAAGGACTTTGTGTTTGACTCTCTTAGAATGGGAGCCACACTTGGAGGGGCTGGATCAGTTGCCAGGTGCCAGTGGCCTCCTGCCTGGTGACCTCTGTGGGTCTCCCCTGGCCTGTCAGTCTCTCATTCAGAAAAGAGATGTCTCAAGGGATTCCCCTACAGAGGGGAACTGGGGAGCAGGGAGCCTAGGGTGGTCTTACTTGCCTAACCTTGATGACATTTTCTCCTCTGTAATCCACTCTGCCTACTCCAAGGAGCTGGAGATGGCAGGGACAACGAGAAGGAGAGGAATCTGTGAACTCTAAGCCCCAGCCATGCAACCATGTAAGTCCAGCTGCCTCCTGGGCCTTGAATCCACCCTACAGCACCCTCCCATGAAGATGTCCAGTCTGCATGTTAATCTCTGAGTTTGCAGCCTTCTGAGACAGCCTGCTCTGACTTCCTACAGTTCTGGTGGTCAGAAACTTCTTGCTGATCCTGAGGCACATCAGTCTTTCTGTGTCCTCCATTCACTGGGTCTGGTTCTATGCCTTAGCTTTTTCCACAGCAAGACTAATCTCTTCTTTACATGAAAGCTCTGTGGATATCCGAAGACACAGGTCATTCATGGTCTCCAAGTCCTCTTCTCGCCAGGATAAACACTAGCAGTTCTCTTAATTACTTCTGTGTGACATGGTTTTTGATCTTTTCACCATTCAGGTTGCTCTCTGGGTGTAAATTCCACTTCTTCAACACCCCTCCAGAATGGTACTTGTATACTCACAACTGGACACAATATTCCATGCATGCTTGACTAGCATAGAGAAAGTAGGACCTAAATTCAGTGCTCTTGTTAATGCAACCTCATGCCACTTGTGCTCTTTGGGTGATCATATCGCAGTGCTGGACCTCACTGAGCTGACATTGACTAAGATCTTTAAGTCTTCTCACATGAAGTCACAACTGTCCCATCCTGACTAGTGCAGATTAAGGATTACCTGGATTTCCAACACAAATGCTTGGGCTGGATTTGGCTCCTTTTTTTTTTTTTATAAGACCAAAGTCCTCCTGGGTTGTGATTAGGTATCT